CATCTGATCTGATTGGCACACAAGATTTATTCAGTACAATTTTTGTTAATTTACCAAAAAGGAATGTGTTAGCCTTCTATTGCTATGACAAAGTACCTGAGAAAAACAGTTTGAAGGAGGAAAGATTTTATTTTAGCTCATGGTTTCACAGGCTTCAATTCATGATTGGTTGGTCCATTGATTTTGGGTCTTTGGTGAAGTTAAGTATTATGGTGGAGGAGGCCTGGTAGAGTAAAGCTACTCACCCATAACACCCAGGAAGCAGAGAGAGAAAGACTGGAAGGGATCAAAGATAAGCTACATCTTTCTAGGGCATTTTTCTGGTGACCTACTTTATCCAACTACCGTAGTTCCTACTACCTACAATTTTCCTGGTAATCTATTCAACTATGAATCCATCAGTGGGCTATCCTATTGATATGATGATATAATCACTCCCTAAAAGCTATACCTCTGAACTTTCTTTCATTGGAGACCAACCCTTGAACAAATAAGCCTTTAGGAAACATTCAAGATCCAGACTGTAAGGGGTTAGGGGAATAGAGAATTGTGTACAAATACATTTGGCTAATGATACACATGTTGAAGTCTGTAGTGTGCTTTAAGATCCATTAAAGAAATGAATGAACAGATGGCCAACTATGTGATGAAAGAAATGGATAAAAATGTTAATTGTTTTATCTGAGTTGTAATAGACATTCACTGTTTGCATCTTTAAACTTTCATGCTTTTTCTACATTTGAAAATTTTTATAATGTTAGGCAAATAGTGTTGCTTATGTAATGAAATGCAATTGTTGTTAAATGATTTTTAAAGATACAGTTACTCCCTAGAAGTAAAGTATAATTACTACCTAGAAGTAAACCTGACAAAAGATTTATATTGTGTAATATTCATGTGGAAAAGTATTAAAAAATTTACTAACATATTGAAAAAAACCCCTAAGTAGTAGGAAGAGGTACTGTGTTTTTGACTGGAAATTATTTGTATTGTAAAATGTCATTTCTTCTCAGGTCAACCCCGCATTGAGCATCATATGATGTCAGTTTAAATGTGTGTCAATAAAATGACTCTAGAATTTATGTGGGCAAGTAGAACTTCAAGGGTAACTCCTATAATTTGGAAAAATAATTATAAGGTAGATGGACTTGCTTTATAAATATCAAGATTAATTGCCACACTGTAGCAATTAAACCGTGATATATAGGCACAGAGACTGTCAGACACTGGACTGGAATGTAGAGTTAAAAATAGACCCATGCACATATGATAAGACTAATGTTAAGATAAGACTAATAATAAGACTAATGTTGCATATCCCTCAATAAATGGCAACATCTGGGATAATTGATCATCAATGTAAAAATAAATATAATGGCATTCCTGTGTCCTTTCATATGCAAAAATCTGTATCAGGTATATTAACAAATTTACTGTAAAAAGTAAACCTATGAAATTTCTGGAAGAAAATGTAAGCATATATTCAGGGTTTAGTATATCACAGATGAGTATCTTATATTTACCAAAAAAAAAATCATCACGTTAAAAAAGACACTAAGTGGCAGCCCTCAGAACCCCTGTGCTATGGAGGCTCTAAATAGGTTCTCAGGGGACAGGGTACTTCCAACTTCAGTCTGATTCTGTGCTCCAGCCACTGTGTCTGCTCCTTGAGATGGGACTGCCATGCAACCTGCTCAGCCCCATTGCAGAATCTGTTACCCCACAAATCAAGTACACTAACCTGCATTTATGGATAATGAAGTCCAGAGCATCTTCGTCAAATGACAAGCTTGAACTTATAGAAGATTTTTAAGCCAGCTATATAAGAGCTGAACCTGCTAACCTATAAGCTAATGATCCAGGCACATTTGAAAAAAGGCTTCCAGAAAGGCAATTGAGGCAGCTAAAATACAGTTAATAATGTCATAGGTTCTGGAAGAATGTATACCTGTAAGTGATACGTTAGTGGAAGATATGAATGTGGAAGGAATAAAAACAGCTGAATATTATATGTGCTACTGAAGTAAGCACACAGAAGCAGCCAATTATGTGTTTAATAATACATCACACTGAGAACATTTTATCATTGTAAGAAAACCAAGTGGCACATTGTGCAAAACTTCCTGGCAAGAATGGAACTGGATGATATAAATTTATTTCCTCAAAGAACGTCATAGAGTTTTGCCACCAGTAATTTTTAGGGAAGCTAACCTTAAGACCATGTGTAGCATGTTGATGTCCTTCACCTTCAGATTGCTGAGTTTAAGGCAAATTCTGTTGAACACATCAAAATTCATCATCAGTCCTGGGAAGATATTGAAAAACATGGCAAGTATGGCCTTTTGTGTTTAGCAAAGACAATGGCAGAATAGCTTTGTATTTTGTAAATAAGAAAAAGATTGATGGTTGGCTGGTTGGCCAAATTGAGAGAGTTTTGATTGGTGATGCCATCAGGTTGGTGTAGTTGAATAACATGCTCCATCCAAATGACCAGTCAGCTCAGGAGGCAAAAAATCAGGCTGCCAAGGGAATAAGTTTAATTAAGACCTTTGCAAAAATACAAGTGGCAGATCAGAGCATATATAGAATTAACACTTGTGATTTGTGACTTATCAAGAAAAATCTCATTTGAACCATTCTGCAACTTTCTGAAAATATTTTTTTAAACATTTAATTTTTTTACTAAAACCTGCCTGTTTACTATTTTTTTTTTTTTTTGGTCTTTTTCGTTTTTATCGGTACCAGGGATTGAACTCACGACTGCCTTGCAAGGCAGGCGCTTATGCCCCTGCCTGTTTACTATTAAGCTGAATGTTTTTAAATGTCAAGATTAAAAAGTATTAATTTGTAAAAGAAAAAAACCCCTGCTAAATCAGACTTCAGTTACAAAAAGACCATACTATTAAGAAAGATTAAAAGTTTGGCATTAGAGACATAAAAACCCTAATTGAGCAAGTTGTTTCCCTACAGAAATTTTGATGTACTAATGTATTTTGTTGTTGCTTCTGTTCTTCTACACACATATACATGCACATACACATACACATACACATACAAATATTGTATGTGTATGTATCCAGTTTCTTTACATAACTGGATCTATGATTTCTATTATGAGATTAGAACACATGTCTGTGGAGATGGAAATGACTGGATTATGAATGTATTTTAAACATATACCATTTAAAAATTACTGGTGGGTGGCATGTGGAATATAGAAAAAAACAGAATAAGTACAGCTGTTTGCAGTTCTGGTCTCAACTTACAGAGAACAGAGTTACCGTCATCTAAGATGTGGAAAGGCTGGAGTATAGAGAAAGTTTTTATTGAGAGAAGAGTTTACTTTTTGGCATATTGGTCGGGAGATTTTTGAGTAGACAGTTATAAATGTTTGGAATCTAAGTGTCAGGTCTGGGGAAAAATACTTGTAAAATATTAGAGGAGAAGAATTGGTACAATGATTTTGAGGAGCACTTTGGAATATCTAATACTTCTTGATATAGCAATTCCTTTGAATGTATACATCCAAGAAATTTTTTTGTTTTTGTGTCTTGAGATAGGGTATTGCTGTGTCATTCAGGCTGGCCTCGAACTCACACTGATCCTCCTGCCTCAGCCTCCTGAGTGCTGGAATTACAGGCATGCACCACCACACCTGGCTCCTTCCAAGAAGCTTTTTATATGTGTTTATTAGAATACATGTACAGGAACATTTATATGAATACTGTTTTAATACAGGGAAAAAACATTGACAGAAAATTAAATTTCCATTTATTGGAGAATGGATAAATAAATATTGACTTTTTAGAGTAGACTACTACTTAAGGACTAATGAACTGAAGGGCTATATATCCATATGAATATATCCATTAGGTTTTGTGGTTTTATGTCTCCAATGTCAACAGATGTATACAAATAATATAAAACTATATGTAATGTTAAAAACATGTAAACTGATACTGATAAGTATTTATCAATATACAGTGGTACCTCAATTCATGAACACTTTTGGTTTGAAACAATTTGTTTTACAAACAGAAGTGTTGGCACAATCTTGGTTTGATTTGCAAACTATACATTGGGTGACAAACAAGACTGTAGCCATCTTTACCACGTAAGTACAAATGTGGCCATCTTTTCAAAAACTGTAGAATACATTAAGTCTGTAAACTGAGGTACCACAGTATAATAAATATTGAAGACACGTGGAAAAAGTTAAGTTAAAAATATTTGTTGAGAGAGGGCTGGTAGGGACCAGGGATAATACTCAGTGCCACAGTACCTGCCTGTCAAGTGCCAGGTCCTGAGTTTGATTCCCGCTACCAGGAAAAAAAAAAAAGAGAAGCTTGATAGAAGTTAGAACTGTATCCTACCTACAAAAGCAAGTTACAGGAGTCCCAGTCTATTACAGTGAGGATTATTTCTCACACTAGTGATATATGTAGTTATCATTTAAGATTTTCTGTAGTTATTTATCAAAAATATTTTCTAATTACCCTCAACCCCATTTCTTTCGTATTCTTGATGCTAACGATATAAATTCTTTACAGTTCATCAGTAGTTAAAGGTTTTACCAAAGGATGTCTAGAATCAGCATTGGGGAGACGGTTCCATCAAGTGGGAAAAAGATTGCAAGTATTCTCAACCCCCACCCCCCCCTTTTTTTTTTTGAGACAAGGTCTCAAAAAAACTATGTAGTGTAGACTAGCCTTGAACTCACTATGTAGCCCAAGATGACCTCAAACTTAAAGTAATCCTCCTGCCTCAGCCTCCCAAGTGCCACCATGCCCAGCTGTGTCAGGCATTCTTTTTAGGAAAGGGAAGAGATAATCTTGACTGTTGTTTATTTCACTTCATTTTTAAAGACAAAAATTACCATTTAGAAATATTTTGGTTTTTCCATTATTAAGATATTGCTGTAAATTTCCTAGAAAATTTAGACAGACCTGTAGGACTCAAATGGGTCATTGTTTCTAACTTATGTATATTTTGTTTTTCAGAAGGAGTTGAGCCTTCCACGAAGAGGCAGTTTGTAAGTAGATGATTATTACCGTATGATTATGATTATATATGATGATCTCTTGCATAGGAATCCTTGAGAATTATTCTTAGTATCTCTTCGAGAAATCTGATTCAGTAGTGTGGATTTCTGTGACTCCTGCCAAGGAAGGAGTGGACCAACTGACTTTTCCTGCTAGGGCAGAGTCTTTACTCTTTTCCATCCCTATTCACCCTAAGTTCCCTTTTTTGCCTAGCATTTTGGGAAAGATGTCATTTAAATATCCATGATAGTCTTAGGCTTGTGTTTTGGAATTTAGTGAGTTTTAGTAGTCTCAAGATAAGCAAGTCAAGATGATAAAATTGCAACTTTTTAAAAATTCTGTTTGAGATTGGGTCTCCCTATGGAGTCCAGGGTGGGCTTGAACTCATTGTGTGGCTCAGGCTGGCCTCAAACTCGAGGCAATCCTCTTGCCTTAGCCTTCCGAATGTTGGAATTACAGGCATGCACCACCATGCCCTGCCTAAAATTGAAACTCTTTTATGTCTGTCCTACATTATGGTGCTAAGCAGGTGATCTGTTTTTTGAAAAACTGGGAAAAGAACAGTTAGGTTTGGAGGCTAGGCTTAAGTAGGTCCCAATCTGTATTTTATTCTGGCTTTAGATTTATCTGAAATTGATAGTCTTAGTTCCTGAATTTTCTTATATTTTCTTGGTCTACGTTTTTTTTTTTAATTTTACTTGGTATGTATTGTAAATATAGCTGATCAGTAGTATCTGAAGTGCTTGTTAAAAACCAGTGTGTTGGAGAATAAAACCATAAATTGGGGCCGATGATATAACTCGGTGGTAGAGTGTATACTTAACACATACGAGGTCCTAAGTTTGATCTCTAGTTGCCCCCTACCTCCAATCAAGACAAAAAACAACAACAGAATATGGGCTTAACTGAATTAGAATTCTCCATGTTGGGGTTCAAAGACATATATTTTATATACTTACATCACAGTCAAAGCCAGCATGATTTATCAAAGACAAATTTGGAAAATACTAAGGAAATAGAGCTTTGATAAAACAGTGGTTTTGAGACTTCCTGAAGGAAACATGAGATATAATAGGGAGGTGGACACAATGGTATTCGTATTTAATTATTATGTTTTCTTTGTGTTTACATCATGTGTGGTATTCAAATCTATCAAATACATAGTACAGTGGGCTCCCATAGCTCATGCGGGTCACATTCCTAGAGCAACGTAAATTGTGAAAAATTGTGATTTTCAGATATGGTCAGAACAATATAAGGCTGGTTTTTGGGCTGGGGATTTAGCTCAGCGGCATAAGCACCTGCCTTGCAAGCAGGCAGTCATGAGTTCGATCCCCAGTACCCGTAAAAATGAAAAAGACCAATAATAATAATAATGCTGGTTTTTATAGTTTAAACCCTAAGTATGCTGTTTCCTGAAGTTATGTAATTTATTTTTAAAATTGCTCTTCCTCCCTTTTATTTAGCATTGGGTGATTTTTCCTTCTCTTCTCTTTTTCTTTCTTCTTCTTCTTTTTTTTTTTTTTTTTTTTTTTTTTTTGTTTTTTGAGACACTGTCTTGCTATGTAGTTCAGGCTGCTCCTGAACTCACTTATGTAGTTCAGGCTGGCCTTGAACTCACAGCGATTCTTGTGCTTTAACCTTTTTAGTGCTGGGATTATAGGCGTGTCACCATGCTCAGCTATGTAATTTAATTTAATAAAATATTGTATTAATAAAGCTTTAGAATGTGTATGGTATTTAGACAGCATCTTAGGGCTTTAGGAAGAGCAAAACTGAGAATATTGTAGATAGCTACAGGTGCTCAGCAACCTGTTATAATGTGGAAATGTTTGTGCATCTGTAGAGGTGGATTACAGGGCAGCACCCAATCAGCAGCAAGGAGAACTAAATAATGTTTTTGGATTAGCTGGTTGCAAACCTCCCACCAATAAACAATTGCAGAGGATATTTGCAGTTTCTGTGAAATTGTGGGGATTTCCATCAACAACTAGTAGTTAGGTTCTGAGGTAAAATTCATGAATTATCTGAGGCCATGAACACTGAACTGCAATTTTTTGAGGGTATACTGTAATTCTTTATTGTCATTTTATAGTTTTCTATAAAAACATTCTAATGATTAAACTGTTCTCTGAGATTTTTGTAGAGCCCTTTTGAATGGCTTATGGAGATTCATGGTCCTTTTATGTAGAAACTCCAGTTACGAGTCAGAAAAGAGCTCAGGTTTGGTCTCAGCTTTATCACTTTATGAACTTTATTAAACTGAATAAATCATTTCATTTCCTTAAACCTTAGTTACCTTATCTATGAAGTGAAAATCATGATGCCTGCTTTTTCTCCTCCTCCTTTCCTTCTTCCTTCTCCTCTTTCTCTACCCTCCTCTTTTTAATTTTTTTTATTTTTGGTTGTATTAGGGTTGAAACCCAGGGGCACTCTCACTGAGATACCTCCCTAGTCCTTTTTATTTTGAGACAAGGAAGGGCCCACTAAATTGTTTAGGCTGGTCTTGAGGTTACAATCCAGCTGCCTTAGCTTCCTGAGCAGGTAGAATTACCAGGCATGTACCACTGCTCCTGGTTTTCCTTCTTATTAAGCTATCAGAATTATGTGAAAGTGCTTCATTAGTTATAGTTTTATTCTAAGATGTACTATTTTTAGAATTCTCATATAAATATATTAGATTAAACTTGGTTTAAATTCTATTATTTTGGGGCCATATTTCTTTGTTTTCTTGAACTGATAATGTTCCTTCTGCCTCATCTCCCAAGGGCTAGGATTACAGGCATGTGCCCCCATACTCAGCTCTTTTAATTTAGTTTAGTTTTTTTTTTTTTTTTGGTACCAGGGATTGAACTCACAACTGCATGCTTGCAACGTAGGCGCTCATGCCACTGAACTAAATCCCCAGCCCCAAACTTAAGACACTTTTTTTTTGGTACTGGGGATCAAACTCACGTTAATTTAGTTTTAATAGTGGATTTTATTTCTAGCTTCACAAGTGTCCTGAATCTTCTATAAGCTGGGCAAGGCAAGAGCACTGTTAGAATTCTTACTGGAGTAGTATCTTGAATAGCTATGTATAACTGAGATAGAATAGCTTTTTAGGTGCTTATTCATAAAATATGTGTACTTTGTTACTGTCTTACTGTCATTTTTTTGCTTTTGGTTCCCTCCATTTATAAACTTTCTGAATTACTTTTCTTAGGATTAAGTGAAATGAGGTAAAGCTTGAAGCATTTAGCTTCTTCCAGGAATGTGTACTTCCAGTGAATGGAATTTCTGGAAAGAAGAAGAAATTGCCTCATTCTTATTTTTATTTGGAACTGAATGAATTTTTTTTTATCATGTTAGCTTTATACTAGAGAATTTTTTGGTTATTTTTGTGCTAACATTAGACCTACTTTAACTGTATTACAGTGTTTCATTAAGAAGAACTAAAAGGCTGGATGTGGTGGTACATGCCTGTAATCCCAGAATTTGAGAGGTTGATGCAGGCGGATTGCTGTAAACTCTAGGCTAGCTTGGGCTATTGTCTTAGTTACTCTCCTCGTTGCTGAGGCAAGATGCCCAATACCCACAAGTTAAAAGAGAAAAAGTTTATTTAGCTCGCAGTTGTAGCAGTTTCAGTTCGTAATCTGATAGCTCCACAGCAGAGTGGCTCATGGCAGAAGGCAACAGTTTATGGTGGCAAAAGACAGCAAAAGCAACTATGAAGGGGTGAAGATACAAGCCTTTTTCTTCCCTTTTATTTTATTTAGACTGCTGAGATTAGGGTGATACCAGTTCAGTCAGTGGACTGATCAAGCAATCACCTACCCTTAATCCTAGTATTGAACATGAATCAGTCTCAAACTCTAGATTCAGTTACATCTGAAAAAGCCCCATCTAAAAATGGATGACATTTTGGGGGGACATCTAGACACAAACGAAGAAGAAGAACCAGAACTATGCTTTACTGATAATTCATTTGGTAACATAACTCACATTTAAACAATTGATCATTTAGTGAATACCCACTGATACTTTCTACTTGCCAGGAGCTATAGTGTTTAAGTTCTGATATTGAGAGGTTCACTGACATACATTCTTTTCTTTTGAGGAGTTTATAGTTAAGAAAGCCAGAAGTTCTTCAGTTCTTTAATATGAACAATATCTTTATATCTAGTCCTGGGACTATAGAATACATTTTGTTCCAGGAGGCAGAGAGGAAACATAAATACTACCTTAATGTGTTTTATGTTGTTATAATAGAATATCTGAGGCTGAGTGATTTATAAAGAATGGAAGTATGATTTGGTTCATGTTTCTGGAGGCTAAAAACTACAAGAACATGATGCTAGCATCTGCTCAGCTTTTGGTGAGGGCTTTGTGCTACTTTAACTCATGACTAAAAGAAGTAGGGTAAAGAGATATATGCAGAAGAAGCGAAGTCTACCTTCCCACATCAGGTAACTACAATCTAGTTCTATGAGAAAGGCATTCATCTCTCTTAACTACTTGATAGTTTCTTCAAGGTCTCACCACCTCTCAAATACTGTTACCTTAGAAATAAAATTTCAAAATGAGTTTTTAGGTGGGAAAAGCCATATTCAAACCATTGCAAACACAAATGTGGACCTTTCCCCTAACAAGTTCTGTGTGGCTTTAACTACAAATTATTGCTGGACTTGTATTGCCTATATAAAATGAAGGAGTTGAGGAATAGAGATGTAGTTCAACAGTAGAGCTCTTGCCTAACGTACTCAAAAAAAAAAAAAAAAAGAAAGCTACTGGTCTCTTAATTTCCATAACTGGTCATCTTCCATAAAACTAGTCTTTGTAGAAAATGTATAACAGGAAGTAAAAAATTCATGGTAAAGAAGCCAGAAAGGTAAGAACATGAAACATATATATTAGTCAGCTTTTCTGTTGATGGGACAAAATGCCTGACTTTGGTCACATTAGGGAAGAGAAGTATTAAATTTTCAATATAAGGAACAAGAATATTCAT